GGGAAGCCTGCTTCTCCCTCTCCCACTCCCCCTGCTTGTGTTCCCTCTCTCGCTGTCTCTCTCTCTGTCAAATAAATAAATAAAATCTTTAAAAAATATATATATATAACTAGCAATCTTCTTCAAATAACCAAAACAGTAGATATGAAAGCCTGAACTATTAGTAATAGAATGGTAAAACAAACCAAAAGAAATCTTAGATTTACTTCATCAAAGACAGATCACTTCTAATTCCTTCTTTCTTAGCATCATTCAAGAACGCTGAAGAAATCCAAATAAGTTTATTACTTTCTTCATAATTTTTATTAACCTAACCCCAAAACAAAGTATAACATCAACAATAAGATGGCTACTTTAAAATTCTCCTTTAAGAGTAACAGAATTTATTAAGGAAGCAAATAATTCAAACACACGTTTAAGAAAAGTTCTAAAAGTCAAAAAAAAAAAGTATGATTAAGATTTTAATTGCTGAGGGCGCCTGGGTGGCTCAGTCATTAAGCGTCCCTCAGGTCATGATCCCGGGGTCCTGGGATCGAGCCCCACATCGGGTTCCCTGCTCAGCGGGAAGCCTGCTTCTCCCTCTCCCACTCCCCCTGCTTGTGTTCCCTCTCTCATTGTCTGTCAAATAAATAAAATCTTAAAAAAAAAAAGATTTTAATTGCTGGAAGCATGAATATGATTTGTTCACATCTTTGGAGTCATATGTCACTCAGCAAAGTGACATGACAGTGGCCAAAACATCAACTATAACCTGGAAGAGTAGGAAAAAAAAAAGTTTCATATATCTAATAGGATAGCATTTAGCTCTCGAACTGCAAAGCCCTAATTTTAATGCCTAGTTATCTCATTTATTTTCCAGAAGCAAACAACCATACCAAATTGCCTTTCTTCCACCTTATACCTGAAGAACTAAAAAAAGAAAAAAAATTTTTTGACTTCTAAAAATCTACATAAACATCCTGAAGTTAAACTTTCATGAATGCCAAGAGAAAAAACTGCTTCCCATTGTTGGCACTTAATATCTATATCATCAATACTAACTTCTTAAAACTTTCATTCTGTGCTATCAACATACTGATTTGCCTTGCGGTAGTTTTTCTGGTTTTTTCAAGACTGATTTGTTGACACCTGTTATGGTAAATTTTTTTTCTTTCTTTTTCTCTGTGTGGACAGCCTCTTGCCTCCTCAAGTCCGTTCCTGGCAGACTGGTGAGATGTCACAGGTGTGCAGCAGCCACTAACATTCATCTCTTCCCTCCCTTTCCCTGCCCCCTCCCTAAAACTCTGAGGGCCATGGATATTCAGATACTTTGCATACAAACAAACAGACCAATACAATCTGACAACCTGAGTTCATTTTGTCTGAGCCCTCATTTTACAGCTAGGCCTGGTGATGACTAACTTAACATCACACAGGTGGCAGTGCACAGGACTAGAATCCGGGTCAGGTGAAATGAGTGTCAGCACACCAGTCTGCCAGATAATAATGTGAGCCATAAATTGTGCTAGGTGCACGATGCTTGAATGCCAAGTTCAACCAGCAAAAATATGGAACTCTTCACAAATTTGCGTGTCATCCTTGTGCAGGGGCCATGATAATCTTCTGTATTATTTCGATGTTAGTTTATGAGCTGCCGAAGCGAGCACTATGGTAAATCTTACTGCTACACCTCACACTTACAGTACGTAACCTGAATAATTTTGATAATGCATCTTAGAGCAGATGACAAAATTATACTCTTGCAAGAACTGGAGAAAGGTAATACAGGCTTAAAGAAAAGACAGGAAGAGAAAGAGAAGCAGGGAAATGCAAGTGGGAAAAGCAAGCAAGAATAGTGAGCAAGCAGACCTGGCAACCAGAAAAAAACAAAGGTATAGGACCAAATCCGGAAAAGGTTAAGAAATGGAGGATAGAAAAATACTCAGATAAATAGGAAAAAGAAAGATAAATGAACCAAGAAGAGGAAAACCTAAGAAAGAAAAGAAAGAGAATAGCTCATTTCACTTACACACATGAATTCAGTCAATAAAGGTAAACATACATATAAAACTAACCTGGTTTTCCTCCTGCACAACTCTATACTGTTCCTTCCAAATAGTGATTTTGGAGGCTTCATCTTTTCTCAGAGCTCGTTCTTTCTTCAGCTCTGGGCTCCAAAAAGTCTTAATGCTATTCATGGAAGAACTTAATTTGCTCTCCTTTACTTCCACATCCTTCCGCAAGAGATCATTTTCTCTTAATACTTCTTTCAGCTGTGTCTGCAGATCCATGATTGTATTATCTCTTGCCTGACGAAGAGAGTGAGGAACAGTGGATGCCATACTCACAGGAGGGAGGTGATGCTCTCCAAATGCTATGGTGTCACTAGCAACCCCACTGCTAGCTATATTGGGGCTACTGCCCATAGCAGTCATCCTGACACCATATGGCAGACGTCCCCCAGAACGGCCAAGCGTCATAGTGCTTTTAGGTGTTTCTGAACCCACATTTTCATGGTCACTTAGGTACATAGGGCCAGATGTGGCATAGGCAGCATTTAAGGATTGGATATTCTCCATTGAAAGGGTTTTCCCACTGCCACCTCCAACACTGCTTCCAGAACTCCCTCCCGTACTGTTGGTTCGACGATGACCCAAGCGAGGGGAACGTGGAAGCCTAGGTGAACGCCCAGGGCTCTGGTTGCTCGGTTCCACCTTCCCAACTGAGCGAGCACTTCCATACATGGTTGCAAAATGAACGTGGGTGCCAAGAAAGGTGTAAAGCAGAAAGCAAAATATGAAATTCCGTGAGGTTTCTCGATGGCTATAAGTCTGCTTAAGGCTAATCAGAAGTAACAGGTCTTCGGCTGTCCAGTCTTGAAGAAATACCTTATACCATATCTGTAATGAAAAGATCACACATTAAATCCCCCAATAATAAATATCTGCCTCTCAGACACTTTTCATTACCCCCACATAAGAAAGATCTCCCTTTCTATCATCTTTTTATCACACATTCAAATTTTGTCTACAGCACATTTTACTGTAAACATCATTTTAACAGTATTTTGCATGTCTCAAAACTGAAGACTGAAACCATGCCATGCAAATGGAAAAGAAAAAGAAATAAGACTCATAAATACTAGCAATGAAAAGATAAAACTCAAGTTTGAACATATGATTTTCTAACTAGAAAACCCAAGATCATCAACTAACAAGTTAACAGAACTCTACAAATCAGTCAGATACAAGATCAATATATAAATATCAGTACTTTCTTGTACATTAGTAATAACAATTAGAAAATGCAATTTTTTTTTAAATCCCACTCACAATAGCAACCAAACCATAAAAACACTTTGGTATAAATCTAACAAAAAGGTACAAGCATGAAATACTTCGTATCCTAATGAAAATCTCTACAGGATTCTCCAAATAACTCAACAAGCTGACTCTAAAATTCAAACAGAAGAGTAAAGGTATAAGATAACCTAAACGATTTGCAACAGAAGAACAAAGAAGGAAGCTGTTCCTTAAATAGCAAGATAAATTACAGGTCCATGATCCTTCATTTACAATGCAAAAATCGTAAAACCTCTAAAAGTAAGTTTTGTTTCTTCTTATTTAGCAGCAAAACCTGACTTGATCTGGTATGAGGTCACTTACGGTTTATAGGTATTATTCATACAGTCGTTGAGAAAACAATGTATATGATTACAGGATACTGCATAATGTCCACTGGGTATCAGGAGGAAAAATCTGGACTCCAAACCACATCTGACCCCCAGGATTTCGCATAAGGACTCATAGCCTTTTAAAGCTACAGTATTTAGGGCGCCTGGGTAGCTCAGTTGTTAAGCATCTGCCTTCGGCTCAGATCATGATCCCAAGGTCCTGGGATCAAGTCCCACATCCGGCCCCCTGCTCGGCCGGAAGCCTGCTTCTCCCTCTCCCACTCCCCCTGCTTGTGTTCCTGCTCTCGCTGTCTCTCTTTCTGTCAAATAAATAAATAAAATCTTTTTTAAAAAAAGCTACAGTATTTAAAATTGTATGGCACAGGTTCAGGAACAGTCTTACCTGTATATGTAAGTTCAGTATATGCTAAAAGTAACATTTCAAAAGAGTAAGGAAAAGACAAATCATTCAATAAATGGGGTTTGAACAACTGGTGCTCTTGGAAAAATAAATTACATCCCTACTTCACACAGTACACAGAAATAAATCTGATGTACATTAAAGATATAAATTTTATTTTATGTTTTTGAGAGAGTGTATGTGCATATGCACCATGAACAGGAGGGGGAGGCAGCACAGAGGGAGAAGGAGAGAAAGAATCCCAAGCAGGCTCCATTCCCAACATGAAGCCCGACGCAGAGCTCAATCTCACCACCCTGAGATCATGACCTGAGTCAAAATCAAGAGTTGGATGCTTAGAATGGCTAAAATTAACAAGTCAGGAAACGACAGATGTTGGCGGGGATGCGGAGAAAGGGGAACCCTCCTACACTGTTGGTGGGAATGCAAGCTGGTGCAGCCACTCTGGAAAACAGTATGGAGGTTCCTCAAAAAGTTGAAAATAGAGCTACCATACGACTCAGCAATTGCACTACTGGGTATTTACTCCAAAGATACAAATGTAGGGATCCAAAGGGGTACATGCACCCTGATGTTTATAGGAGCAATGTCCACAATAGCCAAACTGTGGAAAGAGCCAAGATGTCCATCGACAGATGAATGGATAAAGAGGATGTGGTATATATATACAATGGAATATTATGCAGCCATCAAAAGGAATGAGATCTTGCCATTTGCAACGACGTGGATGGAACTGGAGGGTATTATGCTGAGCGAAATAAGTCAATCAGAGAAAGACATGTATCATATGATCTCATTGATATGAGGAATTCTTAATCGCAGGAAACAAACTGAGTGTTGTTGGAGTGGGGGGGGTGGGGGGATGGGGTGGCTGGGTGATAGACATTGGGGAGGGTATGTGCTATGGTGAGCACTGTGAATTGTGTAAGACTGTTGAATCACAGACCTGTACTTCTGAAACAAATAATACATTATATATTAAAAAAAAAAGAAGAAGATAGCAGGAGGGGCAAGAATGAAGGGGGGAAGAATGACGATGGACTCTGAAAAACAAACTGAGGGTCCTAGAGGGGAGGGGGGTTGGGGGATGGGTTGGCCTGGTGGTGGGTATTAAGGAGGGCACGTTCTGCATGGAGCACTGGGTGTTATGCACAAACAATGAATCATGGAACACTACAACAAAAACTAATGATGTAATATATGGTGATTAACATAATAATAAAAAAAAGAGTTGGATGCTTAACTCACTGAGCCACCCAGATGCCCCAAAGACACAAATTTTAAAACTACCAAAAGTACTAGAAGAAAACTTAGAACACCCTTGTGAACCTGAGTTAAGGTAGGGCTTCTTAAGTAAGAAACAAAAAGCAAAAACCATAAAGAAAAACAAATAATATATTTAATTATGTCAAAATGGCGAAGTATTATACCAAAAAATACTATAAGCATAATTAAAAGAGAAACCAAAAACTAGGTGAAAAATGTATATGTATACATATGTATAAAGATCTATACAACATGTATAAAGAATTCCTATAGGGAAATGCCAAACTTGAAAGAGCAACAATATGAAGGAAGGGAACTTGTATTGTAAGAGGAGGTTGGGGGCAAAATGTTTATGGAGGCTTTAGGTTCACTTTATACTCATACTACAATAAAACTTGAATTTTTTAAAAAGAAAATATGTTCATATTCTATAAGTATAATTAAAACCAATTTTAAAAACATATACACAACTATCTACTTTCCACACTTCTCTCAAAAATAAGTCAACTAGATCTCCATGGCTTCCTAATATAGTACCAAAGAACTGGCTTAGGTCAAGTAACAGGTATCAGCACACTAAATAATATTTTCCAAAAATCCACCGTTACATAGAATTCTTAAAAGTGTTTCTTCACTGGGGCACATGGATAGTTCAGTCAGTTAAGTGTCAGACTCTTGATTTCGGCTCTTGATTTTCGCTTGGGTCATGTTATCAGGGTGGTGAAACTGAGCCCCCAAGTTGGCTCCACACTCAGTGGGGTATCTGCTTGTTCCTCCCCCTCACCTTTTGCCAACCCCCAACTCGCATGCGTGCTTTCTCTCACTCTCTCTCTCAAATAAAATTTTTTAAAAAGTGTTTCTTCACTGAACATTCTACCCAAGTAACTCACATGGTCAAAAATAGGATTTTAAAGAATCCATATACTTTAGTCGAACTCAAACAGGTTACTCTTCAGAAATATGAATACACTGGCAGTCTCACCTTATCATTAGTAAAGACAGCCCCAAGGTAACAGCAAGCAGAACAGAAAATACACAGAGCCTGAATCTTCAAGGTTCCATCTCAGAAAGAGCAATAGTACACCAAGTTCGGAAGTTGCAATATTCTACTAGTAGTGTTAGGAAATTCCTCTCCAGGAATAACCTAGTTTAAGAAGTAAAAATTTCTTTTTTATGATTTTTTTTTAAAGTAAGCTCTATGCCCAACATGGGGCTTAAACTCACAGGCCCGAGATCAAGAGTCACGCGTTCTACTGCCTGGGCCAGCCAGGCACCCCTCCTTTTCACGATTAATCTGAACTGTGAGG